AAACCCCACTGTGTATCCATACAGAGATTGTAAACACCACTATGTGTGAGTATATCCATATGGTGATTGTAAACCCCACTGTGTATCCATACAGAGATAATCATTGTAAACCCACTCTGTATCCATACGGAGATTGTAAACCCCACTATATATATATATATGTGTGCGAGTATCCATATGGAGATTGTAAACACCACTCTGTGAGTGTACATATGGAGATTGAAAACACCACTATGTGTGAGTACATGACCATATGGAAATCGTAAACACCACTATGTCTGAGTGTTCATGTGGAGATTGTAAACACCACTATGTGTGAATGTCCATATGAAGGTTGTGAACACCACTGTGTGAGTATCCATATGGAGACTGTAAACACCACTATGTAGTAAACACCACTACATGTATGTGTGGGTGTCTATATGGAGATTGTAAACACCACTATGTGTGAATGTCCATATGAAGGTTGTGAACACCACTGTGTGAGTATCCATATGGAGACTGTAAACACCACTATGTAGTAAACACCACTACATGTATGTGTGGGTGTCTATATGGAGATTGTAAACACCACTATGTGTAAGTGTCTATATGAAGATTGTAAACACCACTATGTGTGAGTGTCTATATGAAGATTGTAAACACCACTATGTGTGAGTGTCAATGTGGAGATTGTGAACACGACTATGTGTGAGTGTCCATATGAAGATTGTAAACGTGACTATGGGTGAGTGTCCATATGGAGATTGTAAATGTTGCACTGTTTGTATGTTGAAATTGTAAAACACATGGATATGTATATAATGGTACTCATTTGGGAAAAGCAGACAAATCAATATTTAACTCTAAATGCACGATTCACAAGACATGACTGATTGACTATGCTTTATTCAGTCATGTATGAGGTAAATCCTCAATCAACAGAAGATTAATCGATATCATACATTTTACATGATTGGTACCTGCATGCAGATTCAGAGTTATGGCGTAATTTAGTCGAGAAAAAAATCACCTTGTATAAGATATGTTTCATAATTTCTCTTTTCAGTGCAACAGAGCGCAATAACCCTCCAGCTATGCGGGAATGCAATCATTTAGTTAGAATAATCTACAGCTAACAGTTGTACAAATCATAATTTTACCTCAAATTGTCCAGCGTTTCATTATCAATATATTTTTAGGCCACATTAAGATTTTAATTTGCATCAGGAAATTCATAAATCTCAGAAATTTTTTTTCCAGCTGACAATCTTGTGTGTCATTTAAATAAACTGCAAGCTAATGTTTCTGAAAATTCTATTGACTACTTTTATATTATCATTTTTATTTGTGTGTTGTTTTCCCTGATTCAGTTTGGAATATAGAATGACAATTTATACGTGATTAATTCTCATGAGAAAAGATTATTTCCAATGTATGTCCTCAATCTTTTTCAATACAAAAGATAATGTCATCATATGCACATGGGAAGTGAGATAAACCATAGAAGCTGAAGAAATTATCTTTCTGAATGATAAATATAAAAGCTGAGACCGGAGTTACGTGCAATAACTTAGATTTACAAGTTGAAGGGATGACATCTGGATGTTATCAAGCCTAAATCTTCACAGTATAGTTTTAAATGAAATAACAATCAATTCATGGAAGTGTAGAGAATTTGAATTATAGTTTTTGTAAAGTTCATGCAGAATGTAACCTACTAAGGCGTGAATATGTGACTGAAAGCCAGATCAGACTGTGATGAGCTTACTCAATAGCTGAACAAACACTGCCTTAAGATATGGATTTGGGGAAGCTCCTAGTTTTTGTGAATTGACAAGTTCTTATAAGCACAATATCATTTTCTAAGACCAGTTATGAAATGTCAAATGTATAGTTTGATGGTCTGTTGACATATTAACAGATTGAATGTTGAGAGTATTTATAGACATACAAAAATCACAGGCATATTGAGTATGATTGACTTTAACAGGTGGTCATTGTTTAGTGTTTGCTTCTCTTTTGTAGTTTTAGATTTATAAGCTAGACCCTTGTGTCGATTTTGTGCGATAATGTTTACACGAAGTTATTAGTCCCCGTTCGGACGCAGTCCGAAAACGGGGACTTATGTTTTGCCCTGTGTGCGTCTGTGCGTCCGTGCGTCCGTGCGTCCGTGCGTCCGTGCGTCCGTGATCACCTGTATCTCGAACATGCATGGACCGATTAAGTTCAAACTTCACTCATACATCACACCTTATATGGGACATATGCACATGCATTTTTTTCATGATCCGATTAACGATAGCCGAATAGCGGCCATTTTAAGGCCGAAAATGCATCAAAATCGCACATTTTCACCATTCCGGACCCGGATCTCAGTTATGCATGGACGGATTTTGTTCAAATTTGGTACATACATTAAACATAAT